CTGTGATAATCTGAACAGGCCTGAGAAGAAAGAAGGTCTATACAGTGGTGCAAACAATACACCAAAGAAGCTAAGGAGCGACCTCTTGGATTTCTGACTTAATTCAGCATCAAAGATAAGCTTTTGGTTTTGTTTTTTCAAAAAAAAACCCCACACAAACTTTGACCATCCAGCATCCATCAAGTGGTACTACTTAAATTCACACTAATTTTGAGGGACGGTAGATATTCCACATAACGTTATGAAGGCACAAGCTTTTTACATACAAATGCCTGAAAGTTCGCTTCTGTGATAAAGCTGGTTTTTTTGCAGATGCTGTGCACTTTTTTCCCAAAAAGGGAATTGGATTATTTTTTCTACTACTTTGCAGGCACACACACACACACACACATACATCTTCAGCTATGGGACTTGATTCAGCAGGGCAGGCAAACGTTCCACCTTGCACTTGACACGATTTTGATCCACTGCCACTAAAAGTGCTTAGTCCAGTATCTGCTTGGTTGAACTTGGCCAGAGCGCTTAGCACTTGGGAAGAGTGTATTTATTGATCTCTTGTTGCCAGCAATGGATCTGTGTCTAAAAGCCTTTTTAAAAGCCTACCTCTCTTTAGAAATGGAATTGGAATTGGTTACCACTATCCAGGTGAGGGCTACAGATAACTCAAAAATACAAATGCTCTTCAGGTAGCACAGATCACTCCCTCTGGAGAAAACAGTGCACTCTGTCATACCCTGCTGAGGTCGCCACAGCAAATTGACACTGTTTGCCCAAAGCCAGAGCACTCTCCCAGAGCCTCCTTCTAGATCCCGTTGTATTTATTTCCACAACGGGCCTTATTCCTAGTCTCTACTATAAAGCAGCAGCCCTGACATAGATGAAAGAGTGGTTCATATTGGAAAATCCAAGACTGTTAAAGCTAGAAGGCCATGATTTGAAATTAGGCTGGCACACATTTGTACGGTATGAAAAAAGCAGCATACATAATTATTTTAAACAAAATATGCTAAGAGAAGCATTGCTGAAGGTATGGGAAGAGACTAAAAAGCTTGAGGCCAAAAACCTAGAGAAGGCTAGGTGCAGTATAGTCAGACCAGTTAGGGTTTCTTATTTTGCCGCTTCACCAACCTTTACTGTGCTCATTTTCCTACATGTTACTGAATTATGGCTGTTGTTAAATCTCTTCAATAAAAATAGTTTGCTACTCTGCCTGGGTCTAATGGTTGCAGCATCCCTGCTGGATCAGACCAGAAGCCCAGGCATGACATTCTCCCGGCTGCTGGGCCTTCTCACCCACCCTGCAGTCCGGAACAGCAGGAGAAAGAGAGTCAACTGGAAATCACATGGCACGACATGTCACCCATCACATCCAGCCCTAAACCCATTTGATTTCGGCACCTCAGCTGATGCTCTGGGAACTCTAGAGTACTACCAATGTCTTTCCAGAGAGTCTGCTGATGCTCTGACTTCACATCCAGGTATTTATCTGGACAAGACATGAAAATGACACCATGTCCACCCTGTGCTCTGTCCTCAGACCTCACAGGGGTAGCAGGACATGGCCTGGACTCTATAATCCAGCTGGAATCTATAATCCAGTATCCTCTTTCTGACTATGCCCCCCCCCCAAATGCCCCTGAGAAGTCTTTATGCAAAGACCCAGAACCCAAATGACTGGCCTTTGGCAATGGGTTTTCTGAGATATGCTGCCCCAGAACATGGCTTGTGTGTGTGTGTGTGTGTAAAGTGCTGTCAAGTCACAGCTGACTTATGGTGACTCCAGATATTCAAGGCAAGAGACAGTCAGAGGTGGGTATGCCATTGCCTGCCTCTTGCAATGCAGCCCTGAATTTCTTTGGTGATCTTCCAAAACTAACCAGGGTTGATCATCCTTAACTTCTGAGTTCTGATGACATTGGGCTAGTCTGGCCCATCCTGGTCAGGAGAACAAGGAGGTTCTATTTATTCACCATGGCTAATAGGTGCGCCCAGATTTGCTTTCCTTTTCTTTTTTGAGCCAACTTGAGTCCTTCTAATGGAAGGAAGGAGAAATATGCACAGTTCAATGAATGTAAATAGGAATGGAACTACTCTCCATGAATCGGAATACTTCTCCTTAAAGTGGAGTGGCCATCATCACTACATCCTAGGGCACCATTTCCCAGCTCCATTCTACATACTCTGCAGAAGTATCTCCCTTTTCTCCTGTCCTGAACCTTCCGCTCAACAACTTCACTATGTGCCCCAATCCCATCAGGGCAGGAGGCACCCTTACCACTTGACAGGGCATCTTGGGCATGCTCCTGGGCCTACACCCTCTGACCTTCCTCTGACGGAGCTCCCTCTGCCTCAGAGAACTTTGCTTCCACCTTCACGGATCCTCCCCACATCTGAAACAACAGCAAGGGAGAGGGGTAAGACTCCACCACCAGAGCTGCTTTAACCACCGGGGCAAGAACCAGGGTTGGGTTTTCTTCCCATCCTAGTGAATTATCTAGAGGTAGAAATATCTAAGAAAAGATGGGAACAATAGAATGAAGAATTATAAAAAAAGAGATAAAAGGAGGACAGACTCCATTCAAGAAGAATCTTTTGAAGAAGCAGGGTTTTAGAGTTTTAGAAAGGAAAGCTACACTGAGAACAGTTGGGAAAAACAAATCACCTGGAGTAGGTGAGATATCAGTAGAGCTATTCCACGCCACAGAAAAGTAATCCATCAAAACTGTAACATGATTATGTTAGCAAAGATGGAAAACAAAACAGTGGCCCACAGACTGGAAACGCTCACTTTACATTCCAGGTCTGAAAAATGGAGACATCAAACACTGTAGCAACTATCAGACCATTGCATTAATTTCTCATGCAAGTATGCTCAGCATTTTAGAAGTCCCTGACCTGGATAGCCCAGCCAAGCACGTCAGATCTCAGAAGCTAAGCAGGGTCAACTCTGGCAAGTACTTGGATGGGAGACATCCTTAAAAAACTGGCTACCTCTTTGGCAAGGGAAAAAGCCAAGAATTAAATTGAAAGTATTGCAAGATTTCCAAGAAAATGCTGGTTTCGCTTTACCATACTGGAGGACACATTATAGAGCGTCCTGTTTGGTTTCGATGAGAGATTGGATTTTGCTTGAAAATCAAAGACTTTTAGCCCTAAAAGGGCATGATTTAAAGACAGAATGGCATGCTTTTGTTTGGTATGGGAAAGCAACTGGGCATAAATACTTTAAAAATCATTTGATAAGAAAATCCTTATTATCAATTTGGGAAAAGATTCTACCATTGGTATATTTTATATATGATTTATGGTTGTTTTATATACGATTTTAACTGTATTTATATATGTGTTTTTATGTAAACTGCTTTGAGCCTGCCTCACAGGGAGGGCAAGGTATAAATCGAAAAAATCATAATAAAAAAAATAATATATCCTAAAATTCCATTATGGGTGTCACCCCTTGAAGCCTTTTTACACCAAGATTAATTTCAGTGGAAAAAAATTCTTAGATATGAAGATCTTTTAGATGATAAACAATCCCTAAAACAAAGGAAAAATTAACAAGGCAAAGTGTTAATCTAGATTGGTGGGTAAGGGCTCAAATTGAATCTAGATATGCTAAAAATAGAAAATCTAGTTTTTATTTAGAACAATGTGCATTTGAAAAATTGTTATGTACATCTAATGGTAAGTTGATTAAGAAAATGTATGTATTTTTAATGCAAATGAAAATGGAGGATGAAGCGGTTAAAGATTGTATGATTAAATGGATGTAAAATCTAGGTTATAATACTGATCTGGCACAGTTGAGTAAACTGTGGAAAGTGAATGTGAAAATGACCAAATCAGTTGCATTTAAAGAGAATCTGTATAAGATGTTTTATAGATGGTATTTAACACCAGATAGATTAGCTAAAATGTAAAAAAATATGTCTAATAGTTGCTGGAAGTGTAAAAATCATGTTAGGTTCATTTTACCATATGTGGTAGACATGTGTAACTGTACACAAGTTCTAGGTTATGGTACATACATTTATACACGCAGTTTTGGAGACTTCATTACCTTTTCGACCAGAATTGTTTTTACTGACTTGTATACCAGATGATTTTGATAATAATCAAAGATATTTTATAATTCATGTAGTAACAGCAGCTAGAATCTTATCTGCAACTTTTTGGAAACTTCCAACAATACCCTCTGAACAAGACCTAATAATGAAGACCATGGAAAGTGTGGAAATGGCCGAACTTACTCTGATCTTAAAAGGGCATATGAAAGAAGATTTTGTTGGACTATGGACTCTTTTTTACAATTGGATAAGAAAGAAATCTAAAATATGAACTTTTAAATATAATATGAAGAAGCCTTTATGAACTTTTAAAATTTCACAGTCTATCCTTTTGTAGTGTGAAATTATATGTGGAGAATAGTTATATGCAGAGGACTTATTATTTTGTTTCTCCTTTTTCCCTTACCCCTGTATAACCCCAAAATCTAATAAAGTGTATTATAAAAAAAAACAACTGGCTACCTCTCTGAATATCCTCCAGGACCCCAGTAAGGGTCG